TGTGTAAAGTTTTTTTTAAAGGTTAAGAAAAAGTAAAAGTTAAAAAATGTAAAAGTGAGCTTTTGTCTTTTTTCGTATTCCACTTTTTCTTTCCCAATTCCCGACTTCTCTTTTACTGTAAAAGTTCTACAGACTACATGTGATGGCTGGGTTCAACCTGCAACCAGAAATTAAAAAAATCTCCCTCTCAACTTCTCTCACTCACGTCTCCTGAAAGTTAGTAATATTGAAGTTTTAAGTTTAAATAAGCTCCTTAGATGGTTAAATCTATAATTTAACAAGAATATTTATATTGTTTCAGCCTTGCAGGAACAACGAAGAAGATGAAGAACTAGCTACTTTGCTGCTAATCATTTTGGGCGATTTAAGCTATAAAATGCGGAGAAAGGGCGAGGGAATAGGTATGTAAGATTGATGTTAAAATTATATTGAAAACTGCTGGAAAATATGCAAGAAAATGACAAACTACTGTTTTTGAAGAATATTATTAACGCCTACAGCTTTAGAGTATTGGGTTTGGCCGTTTGGATGAAAAGTTTTAGTGAGGTGAGACAAAGAATAGGTTAAAGAAATCTTTATCTTTTACCTTTGTTTTCCTGGCTCTTGTTTGTATGTGAGAAAAAGGATTATCATTATCACTTTTAAAACTTCCTTTCTAAACCACACAAATTATGGACGCCTAATCTATAAAAACGAATGGTCTCCATCTCTCATTGGATGCAATTAAATATTTAAATGTATCATATATGGTGTGTTAAATTAAAATATGTCTTATGTATCGTATATCATGTATTTAAATGTATCATGGTTTGTTCATGTATCTTATTCAAGAGAAAGTTAATTAAGTTGCTAAATTAATTAGTTTTTTTTTTTTTTTTTTTTAATAGGAATCTCTTTTATTGTTATTTTTGGGATCCCATTTTGGTACTAACTCATTATATGTTTATCAGATTTGGAATCCAAAGCATTAACAAATAAGATTATGATATCAAATTATTTCAAGAGATTGAAGAAAATTCCAGCAAAAAATGTTGATGGAAACTCTACTGATATTGAGGTTAATCAAACCCCATTAAAAGACGAAGCCCACAACAGCAACAACAACACCAAGTAAAAGAAGGTCAACCTTTAATCGGGGTGTTCAATTTAAATGAGTTTGAAACTGACCCAGGATTGAGCATACTAATTAATGAGCTTTGTTGTACTGACAAACAAAAAGAGGAAGTTCGAAGAGCATACTTGTTGAAAGGTCCTTGCCAACCTAAAGATCATAACTTTCCTTTCACTTTTTTTGGAGATAAAAAACGTAAGTTTACATCAGAGTGGTACAAAGAAGGTTCACGTTGGATGGAATATAGTGTGGCAAAAGATGCAATTTTATGTTTGAATTGTTATCTTTTCAAACCCGATTATGGTGACCAAGCAGGTGGTGAAGTTTTTGTGAATAAGGGATATAATAACTGGAAAGATAAAGCAAATGTGAAAAAACATGTTAGTGATCATTCTAGTACTCATAACCAATGTCATGCCAAGTGTGTTGATTTGATGAACGAAAGGCAACATATCGATGTAAATCTTGCTTGAGTGTCGAAAAAGGGCAAATTGGACTATTGCATTCGAATGCATCAATTGATTGCATTAGATTCCTTTTACATCAAGGATTAGCATTTCGTGGTTATGACAAGTCGGTTGAATCTGAAAATCAAGGTAACTTTATGAAACTATTGAAGTTTCTATCCAATCACAATGACGACATAAAGAAAGTTGTGCTAGGAAATGCTCTGAAAAACCATCAAATGATGGCCCCCAAAATCCAGAGCAACTAACTAGTGTTTGTGCTCATTTGATGACCAAGAAAATTATTGCAGAAATTGTGAGAAATAAACAACCGTTTTCTTTACTAATTGATGAATCTCGTGATGTGGCAGTGAAAGAACAAATGGCTATTGTTTTTTGCTATGTGGACAAAATAGGTTGTGTTATTGAACATTTTATTGGGATTGTGCATGTTAAGAATACTTCTGCAAAGTCTTGGAAAATTATAATAGATGCCTTTTTTGTAAAGTATGGATTGAGTTTGACAAGTTTACGGGGGCAAGGTTACGATGGAGCAAGCAATACGAAGGGTGAGTTAAATGGTTTGAAGACTTTGATATTGAAAGAAAATAAATTTGCTTTCTACATTCATTGTTTCTCTCATCAACTTCAATTGGCGCTAGTCAAAGTTGTAAGTAAACATTCAACATTGCGTGAATTTTTTCAAACTCTTTCTATGTTATCAAACACTATAGCAGCATCTTACAAGCGCAGAGATCTTCTATGTGATAACTAGTATAAATATGTGATATCTTTGATTTCTAATGGTGATATTCTGACGGGACATGGTTTGAATCAAGAATGCGCTATTAAACGACTAGGAGATACACGTTGGGGTTCACACATAGGGATAATTCATAGTGTCATCAGTGATTGAGATTGAAGGAGATGATTAGCAATACAAAAGCAAGAAGTTTATTACGAATCATGGAGAATTTTGAATTTGTCTTTTTGTTATTCTTAATGAAGAAAGTATTGGGAATCACTTGTGAACTGTCACAAGCATTATAAAGAAAAGATCAAGATCTTCTTAATGCCATGCAGTTTGTACAAATTTCGAAGTGTCGATTACATAAATTGAGAAATAAAGACACTTGCTTCGACATATTGTTGAAAGAAGCTTATGATCTATGTAAAGATAATGACATACTAATCCCGGAGAACATGGAAGATAATTTTGGGAGGACAAAACGAGGGATTGCGCCAATTACAAATAAACATCATTTTAAGGTGGAATTGATGTACATAGTTTTAGATAACATTAAGGAAGAACTCAATAATCGTTTTGATGAAGTAAATATAAGGCTGCTTCAGTGTATGGCATCTCTTGATCCAAATAACTCTTTTGTTGCATTTAAAAAAGACAAATGACTTGAGTTTGCAAAGTTCTATCTTGTCGATTTTCCTGAACACGATATTCGGTTGCTCGATAATCAACTTGAAACTATTATAAGGATGTTAGCACCAACACCAATTTCACTCATGTTGATGGGATTGCCGATCTTGCAAAAAAAATGGTTGAGTTTAAGAAGGATGTTGCTTACGACAAAGTTTTTTTGCTTATTAAATTAGCACTGAGTTTGCCTGTGGCTACTGCAATAGTTGAAAGGGTGTTCTTTGCAACGAATCTTGTTAAGAATACTTTACGTAATCGAATGGGAGATGAGTGGATGAACAATTGCTTAGTAGTTTACGTTGAAAATGAAGTTTTTGCTACAATTCAAAATAAAGATATCATTGAACATTTTCAGAACATAATGAAGCGGAAAATTGTGTTAAATTGAAGATCTTCAGGTATACTATTCTAACTTGCTTTCATTTTTAAATAATCAATATTCTTATTATTTAGATCTTTAGGTATACCATTCTAACTTGATTTTTGGGTCAATACGCAGAGGATGTGTGGATCTTTAATCTAGACGGTTGAGTTAGAATGTTAATGTCTCGATCTGGATTTGGAGTGATTGTAATCCATCTCTTTGTAAACCTTTGTATATTTTACTTTTGTTAGAGTTGTGATTGAGCTCTAAATTTGTGTAGAATATTTTTGGTAGATTTGTGGTTGTTGTAAACTCTTTTGATTATATTGAATTTAAGTGGATCGTTAGATTCCCGTAGTTCTTTTTTATCTCTTCACATTGAAAAGGTTTTTCCACGTAAAAATTTTCTTGTGTTTCCTTGTGAATTATATGTTATTTTCTTATGTTTTTACTAGTTGATTGACAAACAGTGACGGACCAACGAGGCCCTCTCTAGGCAAAAATCCTGGGTCTGCCACTGGTTCCACTACCCATAAAAAACATGTTAGGCACACATTGAATTGAATTCGCTTAAAAAGACAGACTTTTAAAGGAAAGCAGCCCAAGTGTTTATAAGTCAATTACCAAATCTTTGCTTAGCAATATGGGACTGAAATGGGTTGTTACCAAAAAAAAAAAAAAAAAAAAAAATAATAATCTAAGTTAATTAAATTAACTGATAACCGCAATTTGGTTTGAACACCTTTTCTAATAGCCTGTAAGCTCAAGAAATCTCCCCAAACATGTAAACAAACTTTGAATATCCTCTCATTTTTATGCTGTCCTTTCAAAGGACACATTACATCTTGCCCACTTAATTCTCCTCCTTTTTCTCATCTCAAAACCCCAACTTCCATTATTGATCATATGCATGCATGTTTAGAATATCATTCCTTGCATGTTTAGACTTTAATCTTCTTCAACCTTTCTGTCCACCTTCAGGGGCCTTCCATGCATTCTTTTTTGGGGAGGTGTTCCCTTGGCTAGCTCATCATCATCTGCAGGCCATTTGAGCTGACAGATTCGTCTCTGAATAATTATTGTTATTTTTCGAGAGGAAGATCGATCAGGCGAAGATGAATTATTGTTTTCCCTGTTTGCAGTCACAGAGAAGCAAGAAAACAAATAGAAATCATGCGGAGAGTGTAGGTTCTTTTAATGAATCAAAAGCTCCTGGTAAGCCTTTGTATATATGCATTTTTTTCAATTTAATATTCATCTCTTCTTCTTATTATTGTCCATTCTTATTTGTAAGGAGTTGATCATATCTTTATATTTTTGTTTATAATAAACAAACTTGATTGGTTTCATCGAATTACTTTTGTAACAAAGATTTCTGACAAATTTTAAGATAGATTTTTGACCAATCCGATCATTAATTGTGTCATATTTGTCTAGTGTACATGTTTTAAAATCGAAAAAAAATTGTGTTGGTTAAGCATTCTTTAATGGAATTGATTAATTCGAATGACTTGTTTATAAATCTAAATATTGCTTCTTAAACAACATAATTGGACTCGAACAAGCATCATGATCAAGGATTTTGACGTGATTAATGCTAGCCAAATCCTTTAACATTCTCAAAAATTTGGGGTTTTACTTAACATGGTATCAGAACGAAGATCTTTTACTTTTGCGCATAATCTGATCATACTTGCCGATATTAAAACCTTATTTACCCTCTGGTATGCAGACACTAAGAGACAAAAAGCTGCAGAAGCTCATGGAAACGAAATGGAGGAAACTATAAAAATTGACAGCAAAAAAATCAATGCCCAATATTTCACTTTCCGTGAGTTAGCCACTGCGACAAACAACTTCCGGCAGGAATGTTTGTTGGGGGAAGGAGGATTCGGAAGAGTTTATAAGGGGACACTTCAATCGACCGGCCAGGTAAAAAAATTTGAGCCACTTCATCTTTTTTGTTTGCTTAAATTTCGGTCAGAAAAAAAATTAAGCCCTGGAATTGAATTCAATGTGAGTAGGTTGTGGCAGTGAAACAACTAGACAGGAATGGCCAGCATGGAAACAGGGAGTTTCTTGTGGAAGTTTTGAGGCTGAGTCTGCTGAATCATCCGAATTTAGTCAATTTCATTGGATATTGTGCTGATGGAGATCAGAGACTTTTGGTATATGAATTTATGCCAGGAGGTACAGTAGAAGATCGTTTGATAGGTACTTCTCTTCAATGCTCTCTCCTTTTTTCCCTTCCAGGATCTTCCTTATTGGATCAAGATTCACTCCTGATTTGAACTTTACCTAAACAAAATACGTTGTTGTGATTAATGGTTAGTAAAAAGTATAAATACAGAAAATAAATGTACACTTATCACTAAATACTTGAAAGCTCAGGAGAGTTCAGATTTAGACAGGATCCTTATTCTTCCCTATCATTTTGATGATTGAAATTCATATATGCCGCAGATTTAACAGAAGACAAAAAGCCTTTAGATTGGGTAGCAAGAATCAAAATAGCATTGGGAACTGCTCAAGGTTTGGATTATTTACATACCAAGGCCAACCCTCCTGTAATATACCATGATTTAAAGGCCTCAAGCATCTTGTTGGATAAAAATTTTGTGCCGAAACTCTCTGATTTCGGGTTGGCAAAACTTGGCCCTGTTGGGAACAATATTCGTCTTTCTACAAGGGTGATGGGGACATATGGTTACTGTGCTCCAGAATATGCAAAAACAGGCCAATTCACTATCAAATCTGATGTCTACAGTTTTGGAGTCATTTTGCTAGAGCTCATTACTGGAAGAAGAGTCATAGACAATACAAGACCAGTAGAAGAACAAAATCTAATTTCGTGGGTAAAAAATATATCCATCTATATCACCTCTATTTTATTGTGCCTGTGTCGGAGGAATATCACTAAGCCAATACCAGATGACGTTGAGGTACTGTACATGTACCCTGACGCCATGGTGGTGTTGGGGTATTGCAACTGCACTGGGCGTTCGGTACCGGTGTCGGGCTTCGCGTTGGTTCATGTAGCTTTTCCTTTACTGAGATTTTCTAATTAGACCCTTTTTGTATGCTTTTGTTTGAACAGGCCGAACCCATATTCAAGGACCCCAAGAGATTTCCGGATATGGCAGATCCTCATCTTAAAAAGCAATTCCCAGAGAGAAGTTTGAATCAAGCAGTTGCAATAGCAGCCATGTGCCTGCAAGACGAACCATCGACTCGCCCTTTGATAAGTGATGTTGTGACAACTCTAAGTTTCCTTTCAGAAGATACAGAAAAGATGTGCTCAAATAGGAATGAGCAAAGGAATTTTGATCAGGATGGTGAATATTCGGGGATCGATCAGGAACAAGATTATTCGAATGAAGAAATTTCGAAGGGAGAATCTTCAAATCGTCCTGAAATTAGCGAAGGAAGTGTTTCTTCAAGATCATTTGCAGCCAGCAAGAGTTTACAGGAGGGAAATGCTCCTTTACACAGCGAAAGCAGCCGCAAATCGAATGATGTTGGTGTTATTTCAAGTAACAGAAGCAGCAAGGGATCAGGTTTTGGCATTTCAGGCCAAAATGGTAGTAAAAAGTTGCAAAGTTCATTTACTTTGAAGAGAAATGGAAGCGATTACTTGGGCAGCAAGAAACAAATTAATAAAACAGTTTCTTTAGCGAAACAAATAAGCACCAGAATATCACAGGAGGGAAGTATTGGTTCAAGAAATAGAAGCATGAAATTAAAAGATAGAACCATGTCTTCCAGGCGTAAAGGCTTCAGGAAATCCTACGAAAGTTTAGATGACACAGCAACATCTGCACATTCAAGAATGTCAGAAGACCCGTTGAGTGAAGTTACTCTTCTTTATCCATAGGAACAATCAAGGAATTCCAACTAGTGATCACCATAACAGTACATATACACTTCAACTTGGTGATTAGAAAATGTAAAATTATTTTGTCCTGAGCGCAAACATTGATAGGAAGTCAAATTAAGAATGATGTTACAAGATAATCATGTTACAAAAATGAGAGGCTTAATTCAGTTGAATGTTTTGTGTACGTATGTTTGAGTTTCAGAAACTTACATCGTTGATTGGTCGTCATTTGTAAAAAATTCCTTAATTTGTTCAGAAGAAAAGAGAAAACTCTGTTTATTTATATGTTGCCGCATATCTATAATGTTATTGCAATGAAATTTATTAAAGAGAAGACAATGGTGAATATCATACATTAGAATACGAGAATCAGAAAATATATGAAATAATTAAAATCAATCCCCTCAAGTATGATAAAACAACAAAACATCCTTTGAGGTTTCAGAAATAACAGAGTGAATATCCCCTATTGTTAAGTTTTAGGTGTTAAAATAAATGTTATAAAAGCAATTTGGTAATGTTAACTAACTTATAACAGCATGTAAAGTTTAACGGCTCACTAATGATTCATTAATGACACAAGAATTTTTATTATTTCAGACATTGTTTTGAAATCCGACTTGACCCAACTGATTTAACCGGTTGGACCGGGACTTGACGCCTTCTCCAGGCCGGGTTACCACTTTTTACTTTTTTAACCCAATCGCGATAGTATATGTGAGTCATGACTGGCGAACGAGGGGCTAAAAAGTGTCGGGGTTAGATGGGTTTTGTAGAGTAGAGTTCAGTGGTTTAGGTGGTGGTGGCAGATTGAATTTTAGACACCAGAATCAGTCGGAATTTGGTCGGAGAAATCAACCCAATCACGACGGTATACGCGAGTCATGATCGGCGAACGGGGGGCTACCAAGTGCTGGGGTTAGAGGGGTTTTGTAGAGTGAAGGCTAGTGGTTCAGGTGGTAGTGTTGGATTGAATTTTAGTCACTGAAATCAGTCGAAATGTGGCCATGAAAAGCGACTTTCTAACTGTTACAACGGTGTGTTTGTTGGATTTCAAACCTATAGGGATTGATGATATTTATTAGGGGTGTGTTTGCTAGATTTTAAAATTTTTGTATCACAGGTCAGACTGCTGGTTTAACCGGTCAACCCAGGACCCGGCCCCTTGGTTGGGTTACATTCTGGGTTAGGTTTCAGAAACCTTAGGGGGATTTTAGTTATTATATCATGCCTTAGGGCTCTATATAACACTATGTGAAATTATTTTGATTTGCAGGTCAAAGTCTTTATATAATAATTCTATGAGTTATCTTAATTCCTAACAATTTTCAGCAGGTTTAAACTCATATTTTCTTTAAACTTCATAAACAAATTTAAATAAATAAATAAAAAAGGTGTTTAGTACCACATTTTGAAAAAAAAAAAAAAAAAAATCTTCTCAAAATGTGAAAAGATTCTCCAAAATCACATTGAAACTAAAATTTTTTTTTTATTTGTTTAGATGTTTTCTAAGGATGTAGGACCCATTTTAATAAAACTATATGGTTTCACAGAAATAATCAAAGTACCCCAACTTCACTATTATTAAAGATGTCAAATTGGTTGAGTCGGGCTACTTCCTGTCCCAGCATAACTTAGAATACAATATTATTACACGTACAAAAAAATCTTACAAAAATTTATATATAAAGTGATGTGTCAGAAAATGAATAGAAGAGTGAATATAAAAAGTCAAACTCGTCATATTCACTCTTTTATTAATTTTTTGTCACATTACTTTGTATAAAAAACTTTATAGGCTTCGTTTGGTACAATATTTTCACCCTATCCTATTCCACTTTCATATCCAATCCAATCCAAATATATATTTGTTTCAATATTCAAAATTCTCTTCAAAATCCAATCCTATTCTATTTAACTTAAATCATTAACAATTACCTTTCTCAATAAAAGTTTTAAAATTAATAAAAATAGCCGCACAAACCCAAGCCACTATCACCCGCTAGTAGCCACCGTTGCCAGTTGCTACCGCCGTAATGTCGCACAACCTATTGGATCTGGCCAATCGTTCGTCGATCTGTCCATTTCTAACTAGATCTACCGCCAAAGATCTGGCCGTTGATGGCCAGATTTGGTTAGATTTGGCCATCAACGGTGGCCATATCTTGGTCGTTGTTGACGGTCATATCTTGGTCATCGTTGACAAACAAACGACGACTAAAAATTTGGCCGTCGTTTATCTTGTCTGTTGACGATCGGATCTGTGGCTGTAGATCTAATCGTTTCTGACTAGATCCAGAAAAGGCCAGATCGACGCACGATCGACCAGATCCAGCTGGTTGTGCATCATTCTGGCAGATTCCAACCTTCCGACAGTGGTGGCTGGCTATCGGCAAGATGTGGGTGGATGTGGGTATTTTTGTTAATTTATAAACTTTTATTGTGGAGGGTGTTTAGTTAAATTAACAAACCTAATGGGTTAAAATATAATCTAAATATTTTTAGAAAATGCTATTCAGAAACGTACCAAAAACTTCTCAGAATCTTATCCTATTTTCCAAAAATGCTATTTAGCATATAGTGCTATCCTAAATAATCAACCAAACAGAGTCATATAAGATTTCTTTGTACACAAAGTATTACTCCTTAGAATATATGGCCTGGTTCATTAGAGAGGCTAGACCAAATCTGATCCAAATGAAACCAGCGTTGTTTGTTAATGTTGAAGTGAAGGCTTGAAACGGTGCTGCATTGGGAAGTTAGTGGAACGCTGTCGCTTTGAGGTTTAGTTGGGTTGGATCCTGACCTTCCATCCAAAGCTTGTCCAACAGCTACAATTCCACCTTCAAGTCAACAATTTAAAAGAAGGCAAACAGTTTAGTTCATACGATTTTTTTTTCTCTTTCATTTGGTCTTTACTGGATTAATTGTTCTATGCTAGGATTGCAATTGTCTTTTGAAATTTCAATGGTAACTTGAGTGGATCTTAAGTGATTATGGATTAGTCATTTGGTAAGGGTGTGATTGCTCTTAATTTAGGGATTCTAGGTTGAGTCTCTTTAGGGGTCAAGTTACGGGTAGTTTCACGTTAAAGAGAAAGATTCGTGAGTTCTTGTAAAGATTTGTATTCTTTGATACGTTTGATAATAGTGCAGCAAGCTCTCTCATGTCTGGAGCTCAACATGGATGTAGCTTGCTCAAATCATGAGCAAGTGAACCACGTTAAATCTTGGTGTTCTTGTGGGTGATCTGATTGTGTTTGTGAGTTTTGTGAGTTGGTTGATTCTGGATTGAAGTATAATAGTGGTATCAGAGTGTGTGATGTCTAGACTTGGTTGATTGGGGTCTTGAATTAGCTCGAAAATTCTAGGGTTCTAAGGCTGTCAAAAATATTTGGGGCTTTCTTGATTTTGGTGGTCCTCGACCTAATTAGGAGTCTGTAGATCAGAAATCAGAGTGAATTGTTATCAATTTTTGCAAACTAGAGAAAAATCTAGAGTCAACCGAATCTTGGAATGCCAATAACAGTTCTGTGTTCTTAGATCATTCGATCCGTTAAATCAAACCTAAACACCTCAAGATGACAAACACTACTACTCGAATGGAGATCGCCCAATATGATGGGAAGATTGACTTCAGTAGTTGGAAGAAGAAGATGAAGACACTTCTCTCCCACAACAAGGTTGGTCTTGCACTAGAAAAAGATCCCAAGAAGTGGTTTGAAGAAAAATTAAAGAAGAAGGAGGAGATTGACGAGGAGGCATACAATCTGATCATGATGAATCTCTTCGACAGCGTACTCAAGAAGGTTGACGGAATTGAAACTCCTCTTGAATTGTGGGTAAGCTCGAATCCTTGTATGCCCTACAATCTGCACCAAATTTATCTTTTCTTAAAGGTGCTTTATTTTCTTATAAGATGGATAGTTCAAAGACTATAGAGAACAACTTAGATGAATTTCTGAAAATGACCTTGATTCTGAAAGGCACAGATCAAGAGCTAGGAGAGACCAGCCTTGCAATGATATTACTGAATTCACTAACTGATGACTACCAAGTAGTCAAGAATGCACTACAGTACTCAGGTATTGTACCTAGCTTGGACTTAATAGTAGTAGGGCTCAAAGCTAGGGAGTTAGAACTAAAGGTCCAAAAACAAAATGGTAGCAACTTGTTTGTGAGAGGGAAGCCTAAATCTAGCCAATCTTGAAAGGGAAATCAATACAATCAAGGGTCCAGAAACAAGAAAAGGGGTAAAGGGAATAATAACAAAAGGCAGAAACAAGAAAGTGTTTTTTCTGTAATAAACTTGACTACCTAAAAAAGAACTGTTTTGAATGGATTAAGAAACAAAAACAAGGCAACACAGAGAGTCACATAGCCTCCACAAGTAGCCTAGTAGAAGATCCTAGGGTCCTTACTGTGTCCACTTCAGACTGTGCTAGAGAGTGGGTATTAGACTCAGATGCACCTTCCACATGAGCCCAAATAGAGACTAGTTTTAGGAGTTTGAAACCTACGAAAATGAAACTATTTTTATGGGAAACAACCATGCTTGTAAAGTGAAGGGTATATGCAGTATAACCCTAAGGCTTAGAAGGGGGAAACTGATAAAACTAACTAAGGTTAGGTTTATCCCTGAACTAAAAAGGAACCTTATCTCATTAGGAACCTTAGATGAAGCTAGTTGTTACTACAGGGCTGAGAATGGGTGGCTGAATAGGGGTGTTCAAAAGAACCAATTGGAACCGAAACTGACAGGTACCCGAGGTTTGGTTTCGGTTCCTACCTGGAACCGGCTGTCAACAGGGAAGTTCTGGTTCCAAATTTTTGGAACTGTTACTGTGCGGTTCCAGTTCCTATAGTTAGGAACCAAAATCGGGAATCGAGACTAATATAAAATAAAATTAAAGAGTAGGGGGGTTAATAAAAACTTTTGTAAAAAAAGTAATGTGAATACATTTATATTTATATTTCATAATATTTAAAGTAAGTTAG